CTCTCAAAATGTTACAAAGAAAAGACCAGGGTTTTGCTTTTGTTTTGTTTCTAAAAAAGAAGGTTTCCTGAGTAATTACAGTCTATAATTTGGATTAGCAGTTGTTACTATGAACAAAATTGGCAGTGATGTGCTATAACATAACCTACTGCATTGGCTGATTTCATATAGAATACGGAATCATTTAAAACCGTAATTGCAGTCTCAAAAAAACAACTATGGCCTCATGTCTTTTTAAAACCTTAAGGTAAGTGACACACATTCCTCATGACACAACTACATTTATATCAGCCCCACCAAGACAGCCTTTATCTGATTTAAAACAAAACAGAAGGTTTTCAACTTAACAAATGCAAGAAGTCTGGTGGGTTGATGCATTATTTAAAATGCAAAGTAGCAACACAGAGTGGAATGGGTCCTTCCTCAGGTGCTGAGAAAATCCATACAGGCAGAGGCAACCTCTGAACACTGAAATCATCTGGCTTGGCCAAACATCCATAGGTCATGCACAAGGTGTAAGGATGCAGAGCTTTTTAAAGCATCGCAAGCACTAGACACAGAGGAGGAGTGATCCCTAAAATAAAGCCTTCTTTAAAAGATTCTTCAGAAATAAATGGTAAGAAAGCATGTGCTTCCAGAGGAGAGTCTCCAAAACTGTGCTAAAAATCTAAGTGTGTTAGAAATCAACAGAAGCGATTTTTAAAAACTCTTTGGCACTACAGGAAGTGACAATTCTCTACATAAACAAAAAGATGTGGCACCTCAAAAAACACTGCTGAAAGCTTTGTCCTCATTCAACTTTTAAAGATTTACACCCATAATTAGCATTCCTGACTTTTTTTGAACACCGCAGAGTTGCCCACATTCTGAACTTCCTCATCCAAAATGGTAACTCACCAGAGACTTCAGAAAATAACAACTGTAACAGAGTGGCCATGTTCAGAACAGAGTGTGCAGCATGGACAGACATGGGCATAAGTGGTGGGCAACAGCGTGGAAAGACAGCTTAGTCATTCGTACCACAGGGTTTATAAAATGGCTGCAATTCTCAGTAAAGTCCCCTAAAGTAATCTTGATACAATTGCAATACCTAAATCTTTACAGTGGAATCTAACTCCACTAATACCAATTGACAAATCACAAAAATAAAAGGACCTCAAGAGAATAAAAAGTTCATTGGCTCAGTTTAAAGTTACCATAGAAGATACCAGACCATGACTTTCTCATGCTATATATTCTTGCATTTGTAGGATTGTCTGAACCCCATCATTGCCATTTCAAGATATCTTAAATTGTACTGAGATGCTAGAGGCTGCTCTTCGACACTTGGCATATGGAAAAATGTAACTGGTGTTTGTGTTCATGTCAGCTTTGTATCATAAAAAAAGGAATGGAGTAAAAGAACAGCGGAAAAAATTAGGAAGTGAAACAAGAGCATTAAAATTTCCATTGTGGAACCTGTGTAGAGTGAATTCAGATAAAACAAAACTCTAAGCTATTATTTGATTCCCAGTGTATTAGCAAAGTAGAACGAAAAATCTGTATAATTTCTATCCTGTGATACACTGAAAACTGTAATTTCAGCTACTACCCACCTCACTAGAGGTAAATTAATAACAGATGTGACCAAATAACCTAGCAAGTTCATAACTTCTATCTATCCACATGCATGTGAAAAGTATCAGAGATTAATGATGCACAGAAGATCTTTCTTTTGTGTAAACAGAATGTGTCCTGCAAAGGACAGACTCTTTCAAGTACTAACAACATGTGCAGATCTCTGCATGAACACTCTGCGTGTATGCTTTAAAAATTTGTCCTACACTGAATTTGGTCAGTAAATAAGGAAGAGACTGACTTCACTATACCAGGGTTCCACAAAAAGACATTTCTTACCTAACCTAGTAATCATTTAAACAGTAGGAAAAAAATCCCCAACATCCTCCCCTCTTCAAAAGGCTCCCAGAATGTTAAGCTTTTATCAAAAATAAAATAAAAAAATAAAAATCCTCCTACTCACACTGGAGAAGCTTTATATCTATTAGGAGTTCCAGAGTCAGAAGAATCACCACCAATACTACACAGGCTACCAGGAAACTGTTGAGACTTGCACTGAGCAAAAATACCTGCCACACAGCTGCTCGTCTCCCACAGCACGGTTTTAGCCAGTTAGATCTAAGGAAATAAAATTAAGAGGAAAAACAAGAAAAGAAAAGTAGAAGTGAAAAAGGAAGAGAGCTAAAAAGCAGTGAACTCAAAATGACAAGTTCTGCTGTAACAGATACACTCAGCAATAATGTACAAAGACTTTGCAAAACTCACTTTTATTGGTTTCCTCACTAAGAAAAGCACTTCACAAAAACCTTCACCCTACAGATCTTGTGTCTTTCTCTAACACTCTGCAGCTTACTGATGTTCAAATGTCTTCCAATGTGCTAAGTAACACAACCTTAACTACCACACATACTTTTCCACTTTCTTCCGTCTGTTCCATTTTTCATGTGTTTTTATTTTGGCATACATGTGGCATTCGCTTATCTGTGAGTACTGAGGCATAGCAGGACTCTGCTGTTAGGTTAGAAGCTAATGATGTTTTTCAATAATTTCTCTGCTACTGAATTTCATGGTCATGCACCTTTTTCCCTGTTCTAGTATGAGGTAAATCAGACAAAAGCTGCCAAAGTTGGTTTGCAACAATCAGTCCATGATATCATGGAAAAGAGCAATAGAAATCTGGAAAACACCAAAGAATAAGCTGAGCGACTCCACAGCTACACCTATGCTAGCAAATATACAGAGCCTGGTGAAGTGTCAAGCTGCCCAACTTCTGTTTGTCTGTCACCAATCTGTTCATGAATCGGGCCAAAAAAGACTTTCCCAGAGTTTGAAGTAGCACAATTTTGGCAACACTGTACACCATGGTATGCTCCCAAACTAGTTTAGATGAGGTCACTGTTTTGGAAGAAAAAGGTTTAGGCAAGATGAAGGAAGCTGCAAGGAGGCTACGAGGATCACAGTTCTGGAAGGAAGTTGATGAATCCGTAAACGTTGCTCTAGTTTTGTGCTAATGTAGATGTGCATTTTTAAGTGGGTTGTTAAAAATGTTTCTTCTTTTGAAAATATTTGTAATACGAGTAACAGTAGCATGGACTTCAGAAGTATAAAGCCCATCCTGATACTTTTTTCCTCCTACATACGATCACACCATAGTTTCACTTTGACAGAGTAATTTCTCATTGTAGTGTTTTGTACTGTCTTGTACTGGCCCACCTCCAGAAGTTCTGATGCTTGGCTGACACTTCATATTTTCAAACCACTGTAAATACACTTTAGTTAATAAAGAGCTGATATGATTTATTAACTAGGGTTTAAGAAGCTGCAAGCATACAGAGGTGTGGTGCAGTAATCGCACTGCCTGAACCAAACCAGCAATACACAGAAATCAGTGGTGTACAAGAAAATAGGATGATAATGATCAATTCCAAATAAACAGCTCTACACTCAGTAACTCATGTTACAAACAAACCCTGGAAAAACATTACGAAACATTCCCATACTCAAAAATGGGGGAGAAAGTGATGCTAAGCAGTGCAAGCAGCTTCTCAGAATCAAGTTTATCAACTAAATAGTTGTACTCAAGACTGCCTGATTACCTGGCTGAAAAAGACCTCCTCAATTGACTCTTAAAACTTCAAAGAAGACTTGACAAGTGTTACTATCAGGAATTTGTCCTTGTTCTAGCCTGAATACAGGACACACTAGATTTCAAAGAGATATTTTCAAAACATGAGGGGAAAAAAGGCATTGGGATAGGGCCTTTTTGCATACTTCATCTTTTAACAGATTTTATTTTACGTAATCTCAAAACAGGATAACTTGTCTTTACTACAACTGCTTTTCTGAGGTTGGTTTATTTTTTTTTAGATCTTTTTATAAATAATGCTAGGGAATCGCCCTGTTAAGATAGAACAGGTTTTAGATCTATTCTCTTCCTACATTCCTTTTCCCTTTTCCAAAAAGACACTTTTTACCAGCATTTTAATCACAGAATCACAGAGTTGGAAGGGACCTCGAAAGCTCATCCAGTCCAACCCCCCGACCAGAGCAGGATCACCAGACCAGGTCACACAGGATTGTGACATTGCAATTAATATTGCAGGGTTTTCACCCGTTCCTATCCTCAGAATGATCAGTAGAGGGCCTAAGTACATTCTTTTAAATGCAGTTGAGATTTTCAAATGTACCAGTAAGAATAAATCAACTGTGATACTCAGCACACGTTACATGTGGCCACAATAATAATTAAGCTAATCATTACTTACAGAATGCTAAATAATGTTAAATTATTGTCCGTGCAATACTACTAATTTGCTGATTGTTACCTTACACAGCTCATAGATTTATGAAGAGATTACACACTAATAATATACAAGTAAAACACCATTTTCCCTCTTTCCAGACAAAGAAAAGTAAAAAAAGTTCAGAAAACTAGTACGTTTTTTTGTGTTTTGACTGTGTTTTGTGTGGATGCCAAGCACTAAATGGATACAAGTCAAGTATGACTTAGGATAACTTCACTGTGAGACTTCAAACGGGCTCATTAGGTACCCCAGCTACTCAGTCTCTGCAACAGGAACACTGTTTACCTTTCTTACAATGCCTGGATGAACTCCATAAATGTACTAGCATGGGAATTGCTTGGTTGATGATTATACAGTGCTGTAAAGTTTTTTTATGAGACACTGAATATATTTAGTGGAATTTTACTGGGTTATTTCTTTTTAGAGACAGTTTCACACATGGCTTTATGAAAAACCAATCTGTCGCCATCACTGGTAGTTTTATTAATAAACAGCTTGGAAAAAAGAACATAAGGCAAAACTGGAAAAGGTTTAACATATTTGGTAAGGAACCACTACAAACATTTCATTCAAGCTGTTAACAGCTGTCACTGTTTCTATTTTCTGGTCTTGCAAACAAATCACCCAAAATCTACCTTACCCTGCCTTTTTTTTTTTTGGCTAAACAGCAATTGCTGCATCTCACAAGATGGCTATGATCAGAAAACAGAAGGATGGATGAGATCCAAGTCACTATCTGAAGTAGTAGAAAGGCCATGGTCAGGAAGTGACAGGAACAGCAAGGCTAAGTAACAATACAAAATCTGGCGGAGGCAAAAGAGACAGCAGAGCCTCACAGCAGGCTACAGGGAGCAGCTGGAGGCCTTGAGCAACAACACGGAACAGAGCAAGCTTTGCAGCCCTTTCCTGGGCTTCTCTGACAAGCTCAGTTTAACTACCAAAGCTTAACTATTGAGAGCAGCCTTATCCCTTCTTTCCCTCAAAGTTTTACTATTTGTAACCTCACTGCATTTCTTGAAGGAAAGCTGCAAAACTCGGATGGTAAAGTGATAAGAAAGATTCTGGCTAAACTCACAAATGGCCAGTTTACACTTAACTGCTCTTGTGCTAATATTTTCCTTAGCTCGATTAGTACTTTTCCCTTGCTGGCACCTTGGCCACAATGTACTGGGTTGGCCAAAAAGTAATTGTGTTTTTTCTAGGTAAATAAAAGATGAACTTTTCATGAGAAACAAAAAATAAATTAAACAATATAGTGTCCATTTTGTTCAATTACCTCTTGCCATCGTTCAGACAACTTCATGATTACACACTCAAACTTAGCAAACCAACTCTGACCCTGCCATAATTTTAAGGCATCTACACCATGCACATCCCATAACTTTTTATGAGCTTGCACAGCACTTTTTTCCTTTTCTGAAGTAATACAGCAAAATATGACAAAAAAGTTCCTGATTTTCCATCTTGATTTCAACACTAAATAAGTAATGGTTAAATAAACTGTGCACTTTCTTTTTGGCCAAAGTTATTTATACACAGCAGTGGCATTTAGTTAAAACAAAGCCCATGTTCCTGTAAAACTGACACTCAGTTTTTGTAATTGTCCTAGCAGCCCCTTCTGCATGTGAACACAGAAAACTGGACCAGTACATAATATTTTGGAACAGGTTTAATTACATGAACGCTTCCTAGGTCTATTTGAAGTACTTAGTACTTTCCAGGATCATCCGTGCCTTCTTTATAGATGTATATCACACTCATTGTTCACAGACATCCTGTGATTATCTGGTTGGTATTTTACTCCTCTCATTAGAAAACTGCTTATTAGGCTTTTCCTTTTTATGCTAAGACCTTTACCAAAATGGTAACATAATTCTTAAAACCACCCTTTAATAAACATAAGAACAGTCGTACCAAGTCAGAACAGGCTTGGTATCCTGTCTCCAACGTTTTACCTTTGAATCTTTTCCAGTTCTTTTCTATCTACTGTATCCTTTTTCACAGTGTACCAGAAGTACACTCTTGTTCAAGATGTGGGCAAGGCTTGAACGTATGGAGGCACGCCACAATGGCCTCTCTTTTATTCTATGTTCCTTTCCTAATGAATCCTAACACCTGATTTGCTTTTAGACTGGTGCTCAGAATTTAAGTGACCTTTTCATGGACTCTTCTTCCATACCAATACTCCTCTTTTCCACATTTCTCCTCTGTCCTTTGCTTATCCATCTTTCAATTTTTGCACAAAGCCGTATCTTCTCCAACTCAGACAACTAATTCTAGTGTTAAGCCAGACAAATTAGACCCATTTCCACTCCCCTATCTTTGTAAACAATGGTCTGTGGGCTGTACATCTACTACACAGCTACCAGCACAAAGGACCTAGGAAAGGAAAGTTCTGTTGGAAAAATACATAAAGACCTATAAACCAAAAAAGTCTGAAAATCACTGAGGTAGAAAATTTCTTCCTTTTTTTACTTATAGTAGTGCTCCCTCTACCAATTGGTGTTACTGGTAAAAGACACCAGAGGAACACACTTAAAGGATTTAGGTACTAGGATAAACACAGTAATGAGCTATTGTGGAAAACGTCTACAAAGATAAACACTTAAAAGGTTCTGTAGAGAAAAAGAAGTTTCTAAGTCACCGAACATCTCTGTAACATAGCCCTAAATTTCATGTATTCTCTAGTAGAGAGCTGGTCACCTCACAGGTTCTGTCATGCTGAATGCTAATTTTCTGCTGCAGTGCAGGTGCTAGTTTTGGACCAGAGCGCAGAGAATAGCAGTGATAAAGTACTGCACAAAGGACAAATCAGCACTACAGTCTCATTCACTGTATTTTACTGTTAAGATTTTGCTACATTTTCCTGGATTCAGACTGTGGCTGGCAGCTAAAACTAAATTTAAGTCACTTTTGTAAATACAGGGAGCTTGAAATAAAATGATTCTGCGCTTCAGAACTTCTGGACTTGATCTTGAGCTTGGACCTCATCATTCACCACATATCAACATCATGTGCTCCAGGATGTTCATAAAGTGCACAGAACTTGTCAGAAAAGCCATTTTTTAAAATTATGCTGCCAGATAAAGAAAAGCAGAAAACAAAAGAAACATGAAAACTTTTGAATTCTTTTACAGTATCTTTAAGCTTTGTAGAAAACAAGTAAAATACCTCAAAGAAATCAAAATAAAACCTGAAAGATTAATATGAAAACTAGAAATAATGACATCCACTTGGTGTAATTACAGCAGACAGACTGAATGAACAGACATCCTTTTCTGCCAGGAGAAGTGAATACATTTATCAGTGAAAGCCTGCAACCAACTTAAAATGAAAAGCTCACAACTCTTTCCTGTGTTAACTTCTCAACCTCTGTTCAGTTTTGGTTTCCCTTCCTTTTTCTCCCTCTGGCCCTTTTTATAGTTTTATTCTTTCAGGTATTTCTACTGTTTAATGCATTTCTAGCTGCATCCAAACAAATCTAAGGCTATGAACAATTATCATAAATGATTAAATTACAATGGCATGACTATTTGCAGCTGATGTCATGTAAGCCATTAACTGCATGAACTCCCAACCTTTAGAGCTGTTGATGTAAAACACAGTATTAGAAAGCACCTTCGTGCTTCAAATATGTTTAACATAGAAAAAATTTAAGAGTTGCAATCTAAAACAAACACAACAAATAAATGAAAGTTGGTGTATCTCTCCCCTTGCTTCCCACTACCATTAAACACAAATATCTATCAAGAGACAGGCTCACTGCTTAACTGCATATTCACAAGAAAACACACAGCCTGTTGTGCAACCATAAATTCTTTTATAATTTATTATGAATGATACCTCCTAATTGGAACTTAGAGAAAATACAGGAAAGAAAGCTTTTCCCTATCCCCACATGTTTTTAGCAGGCTTGTACCACTTTCTGCATGTTGTCAATTTTACAACTATTATCCATCATTTTTATTGGTCATTGATGAAAAAAATTGAAGACAGTATTTTTTGGAGAAAAAGAATAGTTAATTGGAATAAAAAAGAAATTAAAGAGTGGCACTTAAAGCTAATGTTAACATTTAAAAATCTCCTTAGCTTTCTAGGTGATTAGTCTCCTTAAAGAAACATTTACATATTCTTTTCATGCAAACCAAGTTCAGTGCAGACAGCTTCTCCAACAAATTCACAGACATGAAAAAAATCAGCAACTTTGCTGCCCCTTTTTGCACATGAGCTTCACATAATCTGTTAGAGATATGCTAGAATTATACACCACATTCCCATTGGCACCCAAGGCACATTTTTTGAATGAGTTTATTTCTCATATATACATGTCTTCAGTCTATGCCTGATGATTTCTGTAATGTCTAAGCATGGAGTACAGTGCACAGCAATATCTAAGGAAGATTCTAACAAGATAACTGCAGGGCAGATCAGTAAGACTAAAGTAATGAATATCACACTTGTATTGGTTCTGAGAACCAAGCTACTATTTCTTCACAGTGCTACGCAGGGTGGAAGAGATAACACTTTATAAATAGATATTGCTATAGACACAGAAAACTCGAAGTGTTTTAGTTACATATTGTTGGCAATTATCAGACAATTTCCTTTGTCTGAAGAGTAAGACCCGCAGCTACACTAACACCAGGCACATCAGCCTCACTGCAGCTAGGAAGCAAGCCTGATGCAAGAATTCCTCCTACGCCACACACAGAGACCACAGGCACCTTACCACTCTCTTCAGTGCAAAGGCAGCAATGCCAGCCCACTCACATGACTTCTAATGCGTGAAAATATTTTCAATGCAGATTCCATTCAACTTCACTGGTTAACTTCCATCACATAAATTTTAATATTTTGCCTCTTTGAGCAGTCTACAGAGGGAAATGAATTTGTGCTCAACCCACATTAGAAGACTATATATCTTGTGTTTTGATTGAGGGTTTCTGGGAGAGCAGAAAGGTTTTTCTTGCCTAATTAGCCTTTCACTACTTACAGGTGTGGTTCATGGACAGGCTTAGCGTGCCATCTAATCTGCAATCCTTTCTTTGTTGCCTACCACACTGTAAATGGAATTTCTAATAAAAACAGCTCAAACTGTCCACAAGATTCCTTCAACAACACTGACAGATGGGAATTGACAGCCTTGAGCATTTGATACTATAGAGCAAAGACCCATCAAGCTGTATACAGTAAGATTTTCATTTCAGTATCCTTAAAGCCATGGGAACATCAGTTTACATATGGTCTAAAAAGAGACAGACTATAATTTTTTTTGTTGTTTTCTCTTATTTCTCACCTGCAACCTGTATGGAAGCATTGGTGTATCAGAGCATGACAGTTATGAATATGGATGCTAGCAGAAACTACAGGCACTTAAACATTTTCTGTCAACTCCTGTGCTGCCCTTCCCATATCACTCCCTTCATCCATGAGGGAGATGTAGCTGTTAGCTTCTGTACCAAACTTATCTAACCCACATGATCTCCTTCTTACTCAGGTGGAAGCCAGTCACATTTAACAAGGCCACCTGAAAGAAATGACACCACATTCATAAAACCAGACATATTCTCAACCAAGCCATTTTACTTTTGCTGTTGGGCTTCTTGAACTCAGCTGTGGTCTTAAATTTCACAGGGCATCAGTTGCAATCAGTGCTCCTGGAAGGAAGAAGCCAGAGCCATTCCCACAAGGCTGAAGCAGTCACGGGACTCAGATGAACAGTTTCAGCCAAAATGTGTTAAGACATACAAACTAAAGCTATGAATTTTCTTCAGAGAATCCACTCTACAGCTGGGAGGTCTGGACTGCACCTGCTTATTTCCATTCTGAGTGATAAAGCCACAAAAAAAGTCTGTGTGAAGGAAGAAATCTCTGCTGAGAAAAACAATGACAAGTCTACTTCCATGCTTAAGACTGCAAAGCTGCTCAAATGGTTACAATGAGAGATCTGTGCACTTTGGCACAGTGAAGAACCGAGTTTCAGATCATAAAAATCTATAAAAATGCGTATTTGAACTAAACTAGCATTTACGAAGCACCAAAATAGCCTGAGGGTTACACCTGCATACTCAAATTAATTTTCAAGTGCCTCTTTTGCTGTGCAGGGTATTTTTATATTACAGTTGTACCATACTTATATAACCTACTTGAAATGTATTTCCCCTTGTTTGGAGTAACAACTTTCTGAAGATGTCTCAGAGTCCAAATTGGAAAGAAATTAAAGGCGAGAGCCTTCCCCACATACTGCTTCCTGACTACCGTACAGAATACCTGCTGAGCAGAGATCAAGCAGGTCTCTGCTGATTCCTGAACACAGGTTAAAACCATCAGCTGCTAATAAATGAAAGCTGATAAAGTCTTTTAATGTCTTCATCAATGAGAGCTCTATAGGACTTACTGTGAAGTGCTTTTAGATGGATCTTATTGACAGTGCAGTGTATGTACGTTCAGCACAACACACGGTGGAACAGTAATCACAGAGTCAGAGGGGCCAGGCACAAGCGCTCACCTTCTCTGTCCAGAGGGATGTTAAACTACAGTGTTATCATTCCTGACAAATATGTCTTCTGAAAGACATCTAGCAATTGCAACTCTATTCCTCTTCTCCCTGTACACACCAGTGGTCTACCTCCAGCACTTCACTACCCTTGTTATACTCTTTGCTGCAATTCAGGCTTTTTACTCCTCATCCTAAACAACACGGAGGTCAGTAACAGACTGTTCTCTTCCTCACTGAAGTCTCTTATAAGCTACCCTGAAAGTCTTTTCTTCACATGAAACGCAAACAGTTATTTGAATCAGTACTCCATGGCAGGTTTTCTGAGCCCCTAATCATTCTCCCTGCCTTCCCTCCAGTTGACCCAAATCTTTCATTAAAAAATTAGTATAGTAGCCCACCTACAGCCAGGCATAAGGATGATTTCTAACGTCCTACAGGACAAGAATGCTACATAATCTGACACTGGGTTATGTTCGGGCAAATTTTATGAACTGATTAAGATCTTTTATTTCAATAAAACTGGAACAGTTGTTCCAGGAAAACAGGAATGATACAAATATACATTACCAAAGACAGTGTTCTCACATAAACTACGCAATTCAAATTATCCTGTGAAAAGTACACAATCTGTCCAGGAATCAGCAGTCCTAAGCCATTATCTCTCAGTCAGGAAATGTACAACTATGTAAAAGAAAAACAGCAGCCCACCCTCTATTATCCTGAAACACTTTTCACAAAGAGCATTCACCAGGCCACTCTGCTTGTTTGATGGACTAGATGCGGTCCATCCAAGCGGTCTAGTTTTCCCTGGCTGAAGGCTTCCAGACAACAGTCAGATAGCGGCTATGAATCACTTAAAATTATAAAGGGCCCCAAACCAGCACAGATTAGTAATATTAGAAAGTCACTTCCATTCTGCAACAATGGTTTTTAAAAGAGTTTGAGGACAACTGGCTGCACTTCTCCAGCTCAAGGTTTTCTTTTTTACAGGCCACGAAATTCCTATAACCTATAAACCAAAACTCTGTCCTTTGTACTTACCCTTCTCTTTGGTACTCTTCATCCAAATTTGACAAAAGCTGGGACCCAGCCACAGACAGATCAAGTGCAGCTAAAGGCAGATCTCGATAAGCAAAATTAACAAGCTGTACAGGAGCAATGCTTTTGGTCTCTTCTTCCACTTGCTGTGAAATTATCTCAACTTCTGAAACACTGCCTTCTATTGTAGGCCTGAAAATGTAATAAGCAAAATGAAAACACCTCTCTCCACACACACATATATAAACAAATATAAATAAGTAAATAAGCAAGCAAATAAATAAGTTAAAGAACTCCACAGAATCCTAAAAAAGTAGCAACTTAAAAAGGTCTCTACATGATCATTGAGAGAAGTGTTACCATCGAGGGGGCAGACCAAATCTCTCCAAACTTGTCTTTCATAGATCCCAGTGAAATCAACAGAAACCTCACAGACAAAGGAGAACAGCATTTCACTCCGCTGAATCTGCTTCAAAAGCACTAAATATAAATGGATGTGCTATAAACAAATATAGAAACAATGTATGAACCCAAAAGTAAAATATTTGTGCAAAACCGAAAGAAGGCATGTAACTATGCCAAATAAAAACTCACTGCTTTTTAAGTTAGATCAGTGAGCAATGAATAGCTAAGCTTATTAATCATTATATACAAATCAACTGTAAATTAATGGATGCAGTTTGACCTCTCTTCCACTGTGGGTCAATATTCAAGTAGTTTTAATGGATTGCGACTTTGCTTCATTCAACTAGAAATGAGCATTCTGTTGCAAGTTATCTCAAAATAATTCTGAAAAGAGAACAAGGATTCAGAAGAATTATGGACTCCTCTATACTGATTCTTAACTATCCTTAAATACAGCTTCTAAATCTGAACGTGTATCCTTTTAACATCATGCTAACATTAATGGGAACTCCATACAGGTAAAAATCAGACTGATATGTCTTCCACATTTATAGTAAGGTACTACTTGTCTAGAAACTCGAACTTTGTCAGTTGGCATATCATCTAGTGCAGGCAAAGGACAACTTCCTTGTAGGAGACAGTTTGCATGTCAAGCTTCAGCAGAGATTGATCCTTTGCAGTGCTCAGTGAAAGCTGCTTGCTCCATTTGATTCAGGTTAGGCACAAGCATAAACTTCTCCAGCTTTCATCCAGGGATGCTAGTTAACTTCTGAAGAAATCCCAGGCTACTTGTCAGAGGTTTTCAACAGCAGGTGAAAAGATACTCTTTTTCCTTAGGGATATAGTTAAGAAGTGCTTAGCACCCAACTTCCCTTTGTTATTTTACTGCAAAAGTTGCAGTAGTGATTTTGTTTTAAAGCAGCTTATAAAAATCTTCCAACTATTCAAGCAACCTGGATAACAGTTCTTTTTTTTCCAGAAAAAACCCAAATAATTTAGGAGAGTCAACTCATATCTTGTAAACACAAGGATGTGGGTGAAGGAACTAAAATTCGATGTGAAAGAGAGAGAGAGAGAAAGACTGTATTGGTCAGAGCCTCACCATTAGACTAACCCATCCAAACAAAAAACGTTATTTCTAAATTAAAAGGAGCTAACTACTGCCAGTGTTACACAAGTTATTTTAAAAATCAGAAAATGCTGTAATAGCTCAAGTGTTTGTCCAGGAAAGGCTGCAACTGTGTCCTCCTATGCAGAAAGCAGAGGAAGTAAAAGGAAGCACCATTTGAACAACCTGAAGGCTTATTTTATTTTATTCTCAATCTAATTCATAATGGAAAGCAAAGAGATTCTTTCATTTCCAAAATAACTGTATTCCTCTGTAAACAATCTGAAATCAGAAGCCCAGTGGAAGGACCTAATTTTAGCAAGGATTCTTTGATTTTCACCTTTAGTACCATCCTGTGGACCTTTACAAGTCCAAGCTGATTCAGTTTAGCGTGAAAGAGCATATAATGATCCAATTTCCAGTATTAAAAAGCAAAAAAGAAATAGGTTGGTGCAGCCTTCCCTCTCCCAACAGTATTTACCTTCTGTATTCTTAGACAGACATCGTCTGATTTGACTGAAAAGAAAAACAAACTAACAAAGTAGTGTTGGCAAACAGTTTTGGGATAGGTTTGGTGGCAGGAAACAAAAAAAGGCAAAGACATCTGAAAATAATATGACACAAGTTTTCAGTCACTGGCTGTTAGTAACACATCAAGCATGCTTACAGGATTCATGTTTTTTCTGCCAATTCACACTGTTCAGACAACTCACCAAGTCCTACTACTCCTTCTCAAAATATCAACTTCTCCATCCAGTAGGAAACAGAACCATTGTGATGTCACAAAAATCTCTTACAAGTAGGAACCTGTTCCCTTCTATTTTAAATAAGTTATAACTATCCTCGCATGGTACTTACTGAGGATTGGACATGTTGGAGGATGCAACAGCAGTTGTTCCAGTATTTAACTAATTCCAGCTGCACTGCACAGAAGTTCTAGGCTTCCGAGATGAAGTCTCTGTGAGAAGCAAAACAACGTTATCTAAAACACAGTCTAAAGAACTCCGAAGGGCTGCACTGATGTTTGTTATGTTGCAAGTTTGCCTAATATTTTTATTTCCCCCATGAACCATTTCCTAAGTGGTTTTTCCAGTTTAATTCCTCCATATTATGGAAGCTGTGAAGTTACGGTGCATTTACTTATACACAGAGACATCCAGTCACATTAATACATCCATAAGAGCACAGGGTCTTGCTTTAAACCACTAGATTATTGGGAAAGATAATCGACATCAGAGGGGGGAGTGGATTTTCAAAGCAAGCTCATGGCTTTAGGAGTGCAAATTCTACTAGAAGACAACCAATTATTCTCCTCCCCCCAATTTGATATACACTGTAGAGATGAGCATTAGCTTTGTCAGCAAAGTTTGGTGTTTTGTTCTCCATTTTCCAATTTGAACTGTGCTCCTGACTCTTTGCTACTTTAGGAAGTCTCTTCCAAAAATTAACTCCTATTGTCAGACATTCTAGATGGGCCGTTATCAGGACAGTACTTTGACCAACAAAACCCACTAATACATTTGGAAAAGGTGCCACATTTGTTTGTGGCAAAATCTTTACTTGTGTTGTACCTGGACCAATGCAATGAAAGAGGACAAGCTTCTGAGAATGAAACCTACTGACAGACAGGTTTCAGTAGTTGGAAAAATAATACACTGGAGAATACCATGTAAGAAACAAAAATTTTTAGAAAAATACATCATGAGAGGCTTTGCAAAACTACTGCCAAGATTATACACTAAATAAATTTTTAAAGTAACATATAAAAATCACGCTCTTATTTAAATTAAACAGAAATAGTCATTAGCAAATTAGAACTTCACTGACAGTAACACAGAAAAAAGTCATTATCATGCAAAATGTGTCTTGTACTAAACTTGATACTAGAGCTACTTACAGGCTGAATTGTTAGTATTAGTCAAGTATTTATAGTGGAGACACAAAAACATAGCAATAGTGTGAGCCTTAACAATTACTTGATACGAAATAATAAAATTGAACTTACATCTCTTGTAGACCCATTTCCAAGGCTTTGTTTCCTGTCTTATAACTTCATCATAATAAGAAGTAGTCGATGCATTCTCAGATTTTCCAGATAATGTGCCTGCGTATGCAAAAAAAAAAAAGTCTACACTCTGATCACCCTCCTCAGATAGGTAAGTGAACCAAATGCAGTTTAATTATTCATACAAAGAAAAGAAACATGATCAACTTTAAAAAATAAAAATATACATATATTTTAGAAAAACACACACATGCTCCATTTTCTATAGTCTTGCAATACTTTCAAAGTCAGAGCAAGAAGCCAACATTTTTCAGATAAATCTTCCCTGAAACAGCAGAGACGTGATTCAACATCCGTTCAATATCAATGGGTGTCTCTTCCTTGGCCTCCACAGTCCTTGAATTATTTTACTTAGTATATCCCTAAGGCAACAAAATCCTAAAACATTTGCCTAAAATTATGCATGCTTAAATCACATACGGGAGGGGTTTGCTAAATCTCGCCTATGACAGCTTTATGATAGCAACTGTTACACCTACCAGCACAACAAATCTAAAATACAGCTATCAGCCTTGTTTTGTGATGTTAAATCCCTAACATGTCATTTTGTGTTGACACTTTACAACACTTTCCAAGAAAACCCAATTTTTACGAAAAATTTTACCCAAACCAATTGTTCTAAGCACTTTGCCTGAGAAAATGGTAAAGGCATGAGGTATGCTGCATGTGTCTTGTGAGACCGAGGAAACTAAGAATCCTGCTATACCTCCATTTGCAGGCCTGGAGAATAAAAGGTAAATGGGGATACAGCTGATTTTGGAAATGGGAATAAAACTGACAGAAGCTGGCCTTAGAGGACAGGCAGAGAGATGCAGATATGGGACTTTCTTAACATAATAAAAACCAGGATTAATCTCAAGAATTTGAGAGAATTTAAGTCATAACAGTAGGGCCAGCAACATATAGAACATGAACATGAAATATTTACTTCTCCAGAATACAGACTCAGTGTCTTTTTTTTTTTAATCTTTTTTTGAGCTGCAAATACGTTCACATTCATACAGAATTTTGTTTTAACAGCTCAACCAGATCTGAGCACTGGCAACACCAATAAGCCAGACCTGCTCCCTCTTACTGGGGCTGTCAGCTCTACCAATAAAGTTTGCTCACCACCAGGACTGAAGGAGCAACTCACAGTCGGGCAGCAAGCTCTTCTGATAGCTCTGATGGCTCCACAGGGAGCAGAGTCCAACTTGCCTTAGCTGAAGGGATCGTTATCATAACATAAGGTGCTCACAGAGGTGAGAAGAGTATCGTGGAGAGAGACCCGAAAGGAGACAGAGGGAGTCAAGTCTCCAACGGATTCAGTGGAGCCTTCCTGAGGGGAAAAAAGTGGCAAAAAGTGAGTAATTTCTGGTGCAGATGACTAATATATTAGCTGATTTAATGAATTAAAGAGGCAAGTAGTTAATACGAGGGCAGCACAACAGAAACCTTCAAAATGGATGTAATAGGCTGTATATATCTATATCCTAAAGGGATATACTATGATTAATGCTTCTTTCTAGGTTTTATGCAAGCAACAGAAATGTCTTAACATGTACTGATATTTTGCAGAAACTTCTTATTTCCATCTGTTCCACCTTATCTGTTATGTTTAAAACTTCCTAAAACAAAAAACCCCACACCAAACAAAACTTTTATAGCGGCATAAAACACTTTCAACTTCCACAGGAAATTTCCGAGCAAATGAATGGTGTTTAAAGGCAACAAGGCACAGCAGGGAGACGCCGTTCTTCTGCACTTAATCTATTGCTTGCATTCCTATAGGATACAGCGAAGGCAAAGAGCAATGACGTGGCTCTACTCCCTACCAACAGAGACAGGCAGAGGGCAACGTTTGGGTATTCCATCCACCACCCAGGAGTAGAAATTTTTCCATATAGCCCTTTCCACACCTATCCCACTCAGTGCTCAGTATACAAAAAAGTCTCATCTCTCATAGTCTCATCCAAGGGAATTAGTTAACAGTTCAAGGGTTGGTTTTTTTCACTTCTTGGACCTGAGACTAGACAGCACATGGTGCATGCTGAGATGCCATATGAATATGAGAAACGTCCATTTTGTGAGAATTTAGCAATGCTATTTGTTCTGTAGTACAAGTGTTTCCTGGGTGAGATGGCTGTAGAAGGAGCACAGTTAAACAACATTAGTTTAAAAAAGGAGATAAGACAGAAAGGAAAAAAATTGTCACAAAGTTTCTAGTGCAAGTTTTGAAGTGGTGTAAAAACCAGTAACATTCACTGGACTAAATGACTGGCATACTGTCTCTTATGTACCAAGATGACAGTGCAAGCTGATAGGAAGTATATTTCTGTATCTGGTTTTCTGTATGGGGACAAGTTTGTAGACTAGCAGCCCAGCTGAAAATGTGCAGGATCCCAGCTCAAATATCAGCAAAGCTGACACACCTCTTTACTCCTCTGCAGTAGGTGAATGAAGTTGCACCCAGTTCACTGAGCTTTCTGAGGCAAGACCTTCAAAGTCCTTAAGAAGTGTTGTACCTGCCTTTCAAGCCCTTCAGCTTTCCTCCTTTTTTTTTTGCACAAGTATTACACATCAGTGTTCCTCAAAGCTTTTGCTAGGTACCCTTTGCTTGATCATGAATTCTTTTACCTCCTCCTCTGTGGAGGCACTGGCAAGCAACTGCTTCAGGGTTCATGGGTTATGCTCAGAATCACACAGGCTGAGAAGTGGGGTCATGCGCTACAGTTGAGCAAAGGTTCATGCTGCTGCCCTTGCCCAGCACACATCCTGCCCAAGTTAATTTGTTAATGTTTAGATCAACCACCTACTACCAGTCACCACACTTAAGCTGTAGCTTGCTAATAAGGAGATAAAGTCCAGCTTAAACAACACAAAGCATAGAACAGTTCAGAAACTATATGTTAAAGCATGGCACATGTGAGATGGTGTTTGTTGTTTGTACATACACCCTAAGCTAAAAGAAAACAAACAAAACCAAACCACCCCCCAAGAACAACCTTAATAAAAATAAAATCTGCACTTCACTTCTGCATGAAAGTTTTGCTTTTAGCATAGATTTAAGCACAGTCCTACAGAATACATGTGACGATGTAGTGCACCCAGTTGGGCTAGAGAGTAGAAAGACAGTTCCACTTAAGCCTTTTCTATCCAAATCTCTACTAACTTGCATCCTGTTTAGCTGAGCTGAAGTCAAGACCACCTGGTTCAGAGCTGTTTGTTGTATCATGTACTATCATGAAGCTGCAAGCCCCTGTACAAAATACAGAAACTAACTGAAACATCTGAGCATATGTACTTACAAGTGGGTACAAAACCAAATCCTGACATGTTCTTCTAACTAAAGATTCTTCCACACAGACCTCAAATAGCAGCCTAGACACATGGGCAGGCTCACAATTTGCATTCAACATAAATGCAACAGGTCACACTGAATAAACACCCCTATTAGCTGCAAAGCATGTTTTAAGTACTTTTGCCCAGCTCCTGCTCCTTCCACTCCCCATGCCATAGCCATGGACCTGCACATGGGCCATTACTATGACCTGGACCAGGAAAATTATTTGGCATTTCAATCAGCAACAACAAAATTATTTTTCTTTTCCTGCACTTTTTGGTGTTTGGTTGGTTTTTAACAAACAAAAAGCTCCAAAAATAGTTGTGTCAGCAAAACTGAGAGGACAGGGCAGTGCACTGCGGACAGAGCCATAGAAACAAACAGCACAGTGGAGAAATACTTAAGATCTGACATACTCCAATCAAAGATTTTGTGTGTTGAGTCCTTGCCATTGGCAATATACAACTGGAGTAAGCACCCAAGCT